AGCAGGATGGCTGCAGCTCCGGAAGGTCAGGATGGAGGGTAACACCTAAAGTAGTCCAGAGTTTGGGCGAGGAACTAAGGCAATGAGGAGGTTCCTAGGGACCCAGGGAGGGGTCTGGAGCCCAGATTCAGGGGCTGAGATTGTGGGACCAGTGAGGGTCCAGGAACCCAGAGGGGCTGAGTGGAAGAGAATATCAATGAGGATGCCACCTGTAAGGCATGAGGTATGGTAGGCGTGGAACTAAAGCCATGCAATTAGTCCATAAGGCAGGGACCACAGTGCACCTGGTGGTCATTTGAGAGAGCAATTTGGGAAACCCTGGGGCAGCTACCCTCATAAAAGTAAGAGACTTCAAGGAGTAGTGGGTGACTGAAGGGGTGACTGGCCACAAAGGGAGGGATGCAGGAACTCCAGGAGCTTCACAGCCGCCCCTGGAGTGTCTCCCTGTTGCAGTGAAGGGGATACAGAAAGGGGAATCTTCACTGTCCAGTAAGATGGTGTTATGTGCAGAGTTATGCCTGCTGTCCCCAGGTTGCAAAGCAGAATGGAAGGTGTCTCTTTTTTCCATGCTTTTGGGCTTTCCTAGTAGCCATGTGGGGCTGGGAAGGAATGTTCCTCCTGTGGCTAGAGGTATGGGAGAGGGTTCGACTTTCTCAGAAGCATTAGGGGTTGGTTGCAGCCAAAGCTAAAGATTTTGACTGGGATAACCATGGAATCCCTGAAGTCCCTTCAGCCCTTATCCACTTCATCCTCTTTGGGCAGTTGCTCCTTCATTTGCCCACCATGCCTTGATGTACGTAGCTTCTAAATAAAGGGAGGCTGCCCCAGGGTTTCCCAAGTTTGATCTTGCTCACAGGTGTCCCGTCATTGCCTTAAGGGACAATCTCATGGGCTCCATCCTCCCCAATACCTACCTCCCATGCCTCATACCCATCTGGAGCTACAGGCTCCCAGCCCCAGTCCTTGCCCCTCCTCGCCTGTGGGCTCCTTGGCCCCCTTGGTCTCTGGCTGTGACTCCCTGGTCTTTGGCCCTTTTCTGGGTCATGGCCCCACTCCTAGGCCAGCTGAGATTCCTGTGCTCCTCCAGCTCCACCAGTCTCCAGCTGTGAACATCTGCTTGGCCTTTGGCCCATCTCCTGGGCCAGTGAGACCTTCAGGCTCCCAAGCCCTGCTGACAACTGCCCTTCCTGGGCTCTAGACCTCTGCGCTCTTTAGCCCCCCCCAACTCTGCCTGGGCATTTTCCCTAGGTTGGCTACTTCCAAATGTGGCTCCTAGGCTTGGTGTCTCCACCTGGGTACTTAGTATACTTGGGAGTAGCTGGGAGACGCTATCTCCACCTGCATTCCCCCACCCAGGCATTTCACGTCTGCTGGCTACTCCTGGGCACAGTGTCTTGCTCTCTCAGGCTCTGCTGACACATACCCCTCTCTGGAATCTGGCCCCCCTTGGCCCCACACCTCTTTGGCCCCTCCCCCGCCTTCTTCTCAGGCTCCGGTCTTGCTCCTAGGCCTTGCTCACACTCACTCCACCTCTACTTGTGCCAAGCTTCAGGCCCCAGGCCCTCTCTACTCAGCCCCTCCCAGGGTCAAGTGCTTTCTCACTCTGGGCCCCAGGCCAATCTCTTCCAAGGTCTGCTCTTGGCTCCACACTCTTCCCCACAATGGGCTCAGGCTCCCTCTCTGTGGGTGCCAGGGCCTCTATTTTTCTGGCCCCTCTTCCTCTGGGCCAGTTGGGACTTCCATAAACCCCCCACCCAGTACCTTCCACAACCACCAGAGCTTAACTCCAGCTCAGAGGTTAAGGCAGGAGCCAGAGGCAGATTTAGGTGTACTGGGGCCCTGGGTAAACACAAAATTTGAGGCCCCCTCCCCCCATGGAACCTGAGCTGCAGGGGGATAAGGAAGAGGGGCCCCTTCCCCTCCTAGTGCTGGTGGAAGAGGCTGGGTGGACCCTGCTGGGCTGGGGAGCACAAGCTTGCCTTTTCTCCTTGCTCCGCGCCCCAGCTATGGCCAAATGTACACACACACACACACGGCAGACAAGGTTATTTGTGTAAATCTGATATCTTTTATTAGACCAACTAATAAAACTCCTGGAGTCCCTGCAATCCTCCCTCTTAGCAAGCTTTTGGGTTTAAAAACCCGTCATCAGACAGAGGAAACATCTGCAGTTGGTGTGCACTCTTCCTGGAGGGAATGAATAGTAAAGAAGCCAGAGGCAGGTATGCATGCAAGAAAGGCAGTCAGGGAAGATGTAAATTGAGGAGTCAGTGGGTGAAAGAACCAGTGGGTGAGAGTCAGTGGGTTTTGTCAAATCAATCCTTAAACTGCTTGTCACCCGCTTGTCTAACACACTACAGACTTTCTACAAAAACTTAAAAACATAGACCACCTTCCCAGCAACACCCTCCTAGCCAGCATGGATATTACCAGCTTATATACCAACATCCCACAGTAGGATGGCCACCTGGATACCATGTGAAGAATTGCTGAAACACAGAAGGAAAACCCCCATGAATCGCACACCACTGTTTATGACATATCACCCCTCCCTCGAACCTATATGGAAAATCCTCAAACAAATGCAACCCATTCTAGAAGGAGACCCAATTCTTAAAGAGAACTTCCCACAACCACCCATCCTAGCCTTCAAACAAGCATTGAACCTTGCTAACCTCATCACCAGAAGCAAACTTCTTACGGCCCAAAACACACCAAATGGATCCAGACCATGCCATGACAAGAAGTGCAAAACCTGTCAACGTATCTCCACCACCCCCACAATTACTACACCCCACAACAAAACCATCAGCATTCCTGGATCTTACAGCTGCGCCTTGAGAAATGTTATATATTTCATCCAGTGCACCAAATGCCCTGATGGAAATTATGTAGGAGAGACCAAAAAACAACTGTGCACCAGAATGAATGCACACCAGAAATCTATCAAAGACAAGAACACTGAATTAGCTGTGGGGCACATTCTTCCCTCTCTGTCCCCAATCTCTCAGTTCTAATCTTCAAAGAGAATTGACAAAACACTTTCACAGATGAGCCTATGAACTTCATTTCATCAACCTCATGGATACAAAAAATCATGAACTAAATATACACATTAGATTTATGACACATTATAACTTGCCTGACATCTGGCTCCCCAGATAGCTCTCCACTATTTACCTGCTACATTTATCCCTCTCCTCCCCCCACAAAGCCTCTCTCACCCACTGACTCCTCCATTTATAACTCCCCTGACTGCCTTTTTTGCACGCAGACCAGCCTCTGGCTTCTTTACTATTCATTCCATCTAGGAAGAGCACACACCATCTGCAGATGCTTCCTCAGCCTGACAAAACGTTTTTAAACCCAAAAGCTTTCTAAGAAAAACGTTTCCAACTATTTAAGTTGGTCTAATAAAAGATATCAGACTCGCCCAAAGAACCTTGCCTGACTGGTCTATGTCCTTAGACCAACACAGCTACAACCTATACTCCCCACATACACATAGGCATGTAGACACAGATGCACGCACTCTACTTTCACTCTCTGCACATGGACACAGACACCCCCCCCCCACACACACACACAGACAGTCCAACACAGACAGCTGAGCTGGGCTGGGCTGGGCTGAGCTGAGCTGGGATGGGCTGGGCCGGGAGTGCTGTGCCCTGTCTCTGCAGGTGGGTAGGAGCACAGGCAGGGGTAGCTCAGCTGTGGGTGTGCCTGGGCTAAGATGAATTTGGGGGGGCTATAGGCCCCAAGGCCCTCCCAGTGCTGCTGCCCACAAAGGCGCAGTGCAGCACAGTGCTCCTGGCCGGCCCCAACTCGCCCCCCTGCCAGGTAGGGCCAGGCTCTCCCAGTCCAGTTCAGCCTCCTCCCCTCCAGACATGGTGCCACCTGGCTCACCCCCCTCCCCCAGGTGCAGCACAGCTGTTCTGGCCCAATCCCAACCCCAGCTCTGTCCTGCCCTCCCCTCGGCCCCACTGGAGGATGAGGGGCCCTGCTTCCAGCTCCCAGGGAAGCAAATGTGAAAGCTGCAATTTTAAACTTAGCACCAAAAATGGGGGCGTTTAAAACTGTGGCTTTCACTTCCCTGCTGATGAGGATCCCGGGGCCACAAATTGGTAGGGGCCCCTGGGCTCATGCCCAGCTGGCCCATTCATTAATCTGCTTATGGCAGGAGCGCTGCTGCCAGGAGCTGCTCTCCCTGTTGCTCTCCCTGTTGCTCCTGGGGCTAGACTGCCAGACCTGCTTGCTCAGGCCCTGGGCTCATATGGCTCAAGCCCAACCCCTTTCTGGCCAGGTGTCTCCTTAATGGGCCCCTGCCCCACCTGCAGTCTGCTTCTTCCTCAGCCTCTCTCCTCTTAAAGTGACAGGTGCATCAAGTGCCCTGTCACATTGGGCTGTGCCAATGCTCCTGCTAGGATAAAAAAACAGTGGTTCCTGGCTAGACAGTCTTGTCCCCCTGTCAGGATTACCACATTTGGGATCAGGAAGAATTTTTTGTAGGGATTTTGGGGCTTTTGCTTTCCGCTGTAATGGGGGGTATGGGTCTCTTTGGATTTCTTGAGCACATTTTAAAAATGGGTGCAGTGGCAGGACACTGATGGCTTTTATCCCTTGCTTTACCAGGGTGCTTTGGGTATCTTTGGGTAATATATTTTGTAGTTGTGCAATGGGATTGACTTGTATAGTTAGGAGGTCCCTTCCAGCTGTGATTCTGTGATTCCCATCCCACACTTAATCCTAACATGCTGTGGTCCCCTGACACTGGAATTCCACCTACAGCATGAAGCCTGCACTGCCTACAGAATGAACCCTGCACTGAATTTCAGAGAAGAATGAGTTTTGCTATCTCTAGCTTACCTGTTGGTGGTTCAGTGCCCTTCGTGATGCCACCAGCACTCAAATGAAAGCAGGCAGAGCACTAATTCATGCAGCCCTAAACCCTGCACAGGCAGGGTTCCTCACAGGCTGGCAGCACAAGTGAGGAAGAAAAGCTGTAAACCTTCCCAGATCCTGTCAAGCCACTTGGAAAGGATCGGGGATGGAGAAGGGTGGAGGGGAGAGGGCAGACCTGAGTACCTGCTTTAGTGGCTCTGAGCATACCTGGGAGCAGAGTGTCGCCTCTTCATGGAAATACCCCTTCATAAAGTCACAATATTCCCGGGATGTTATTTCACACCTGAAAAAAGAGAGAAAGTAGCAAAAGTCAGCTGTGCTGAAAGAAGCATCTTGTATCCTAAAAGGATCACCCACTCGAAACACCTTTTAAATTACCCTAAAAATAACCAAACCATGACAGAAATAACCCTGGTGGAAGCAGGTAATATTCTGGATTGTTTCATTTTTGCAATGTTCTATGTTCATGACAAGGAAACAGGCAATCCTCCTAGCATCCCACAATGCTGTGCTCTTCCACTCCCCAAAGGGGAGAGCCAGGTAGACTATCAATGAGCACTCTGTGCTTCTACCTCCATAATACCACCACTGGAACTGGGAAACTCAGCGTCAGCTGCCCATAGGGTGCTCTCCACCACAGTTGGGACTTCAGCCTCCAGTGTTGCTGCACTGATACAAAGCTCTAGCATTTACAGAATTTACCTGGGTACAAACTTCCTTCTATTACTGTAAGTCATATCTACACTAAGGGATTGCACTACTGAAACTACAATAGTGCAGGCACGGAACATAAGGAATTTATTTCTACAGGGATTGTATTCTCATTCTGTATGACCCACAGCAGTAGGAATGCACTTCCTGCAGGAACTAAAATCCTAGTCACCAGTATACAAGCCGAAAGAGCAGCAGATAGGTCTGCCACAACTTTAGGTGCATCTCAAGCTGGGTACTACAAAGTCAATGGCAGGGTTTTCCTATACCAGATGCATCCTGCGGCTTAGACTTTCTAGCATTTTCTACACCAGGTCCTGCCCTGGCCCATCATTTGGATCCCAATGTACCAGCTTCCTGAGCAGAGCTGGTGTACATATAGACTAAAAAGCTTCCCTGAGACTGCAAATGCAAGGGTTGGAGCATAGATCAGTTGCAACTGTGTATGCCTGTGTGTTTCAGAGAAGAAAGCTACCTTAAAAAACAGCCGACAGCAAGAAAAACAATGGCGAACATGACAATGAGAGAGAAGAGACTGAGCTCTTTGGTGCATCAATAGGTTTTCTTCGTACCAGAAAGAACTTGGTAAGGCCTCAGTATTAGCTAAACACTTGGATCAAGTGGCAGCAACATCAGGAACATACATCATGGCCATGAGTGATTCTCTATTATTATCTAATTTTTGCTGACAACTCCTCCTGAGGGATCTGCAGAGCTGGTGATAAACCTGGGTATTCAAGGTAAGAAGAATGGCAGTGGCCAGTAGGGCTGTGCGAAGTTTCGGTCGGTGATTCGATTTGGAGGAGATTCGGCTCGATTCTCCAAATCTGAATCAAATCAGGAGACCCATTAATCTCTCTGAATCAAATCGGAAGCCTCTGGTTCAATTCAGAGAGATTTGGAGAGTTTTTACAATTCGGACATAGACACAGCTTTATATGTTTTTTCTACATACCTCAAGGTACCAGGCAGCTTGTGAATGCAGAGATGGTGGGGTGGATGAAGTGTCCCATGGGAGTGCGTGGGGGTCCCCAGCATGCTCAGCGTCGGACCTGGAAATGGATCAGAAGCACTTCTGATTCACTTCCAGGTCCACTGTGGCGTGCACAGGGAACCCACCTCCTTGGGGGAGGGGGGAGTGGGCTGGGGTCCCTCCACGGCTGATCACTGAGCTGGGGGGATTCCCCTGCATGCTGGACCCCGGAGGTGGCCAGAAGTACTTCTGGTTTGCTTCCAGGTCTGCCACTGAGCACGCAGGGGGGCCCCCCTGCGCTCCTGTGGGATGCTCCATTTGCCCCACCATTTCAGTGCTCATGAGCCACATCTGGTACCTCGAGGTATGTAGAAAAAACATATAAAGCTGTGTTTATGGCCAAATCGCTGATTCTCCAAATCAGAATTGAATCTTCAGATTCAGATTCAGCCGAATCGAATCCAGACAGCGATCCGAATCAGCAAATCAAATCACTGTCCCCCGAATCAGGCTGAATCTGAATCTGAATCAAATATGGCTTGCTTCACACACCCCTAGTGGCCAGCATTCTTCTGGCTAGGCAGGACAGGCACTACACTGACTGCAAACTTGAGTATGTCTCCTCCTAAGAAATCTCAACATGACTGGAACAGAATCCATGCTAGTAAAGAAACCAGTCCTCCAGTCCCCTCCATTACTTCAGCTTATTCCTCTACTTAATGTCTTGTCCGTCCAAAATCTAGCTTGCATTTGGAGGCATTGGCATCTGGCATACCCCTCAGTTACCCAAGACAGGCAATCATGGGGACTTACAAAACTCTCTCCTCCCAGTTCCCTATATGCTACTTGGTACCATCTGTTCTGTTGTCTGCATCTGGCATGATCTCCCGGTTAGGGACAAGTGCCTTCCAACTACTTTCAGATCCCTTTTGCACAATAGGTGTGTCTATATGAGATGCTACTGTGCAGTGATTACTGCACATTAGCGCCAGCAAATCCTGTTTTAGTGACACTACTGTGCAGTAGCCAAATAATACTGCGCAGTAGCGTATTAGCATTGCTGGTGCTGTGATCTGCTACTGCACAGTATTATTTGGCTACTGCACTGTTTGTGTCTTGTGTAGACATGCCCACTGCCACCTCCTTTTCTATCTCTGAGCAATCCTTACACCTCCCTCACCTGAACTGTGGGTATTTTTTTGTCAATATCTTCTGTACTTTAATCCATTCTTAAACCGTTGTTTCCTACACAGGAAATGTCTTAGTCTATGCTGGGTCTTCCCAGGCCAATACGGTGCTCAGCAGGGTATAGGGCTTCTACACCTACATAGAGTATTGCTGAAAATCCTCAGACAGGGCTCACAGAACAAGTCAGGGTTCAAGTTCTCACATGGGAAATATATTTATTTCTCAGTGAACAAAAGCATTTTCTTGTGATTTAAAATGCAGTCCAGTTTATGTAAGATGCTGCATAATCCCAAAATGGCTCTAGTACTCTTGCATGCATTCTGCTGTGGTCCACAGATGCTGTATAGGAGCTGGAAAATGCCCACTGTAAGGGTTACTACACACCAAGTCATCCCATTGCCCAGATTGGAGCCTTTGTCTTTCTTTCTCCCCACACAGCATGAGGTCAGGGCCTAGCTCTTGGGATGCAGGAGTTTGATGTTGTTCCTTTGGTATGATTTCTTTTTTACAGTACTGCCCTGGACTGTGCATCTAAAAGGAGAACCTACACCCCAAGAAGGAAGGCAAGCCCTTTGTACTGCATATTGCCATCCAATACAGGAACCATCCCCATAAATCTCTTCCCCAAAACCTTTCTGGATAGGCAAGTGGGCTCTATTACCTTCCTTTGGTCCCAATGCAGCAGGGCCTGCCTGTGATAACGCAGTCCATGTGAAGGTGGTTGGTATAATTCCCCGCGCTGTTCTTAGTGCAGATCTGGATAATGACAAACAGAATTGGATGGATGCAAGAACATAACTGCAACTTGATGGAGGGTAGTAAGTGCCCCAGGAATGCTCTTCATCCCTCTGTGATGAGAGAGAGAATGCAATTCTAGCCCTCTGTCACCTAGGCTGGTAGTGGAGAGAGGCAGACATGGTTCAGTGGATACATTCCCTTGCCCAGGGGTGAGCAAGACTCAAGAGTTGTCTGGATACTGTGCTATGACCATGGTCTGAGTCACTCTATTGTTCCTGAACAAAGTTCTGGAGAGAACTGAGCAGTGGTGCAACTGTAGGCAGGACCAGGATCTCCTGTAAGCAGGAGCCACAATCAACTCCCTTTCTGAGCTGGGCTCAGACAAGCAATGCAAGAATACTGGACTCTGCTTCCAGCCTGAGAGAAGCAGCCATCCTTTTGGCAGGCTGTTCTTATCTGCTGCTGACAGCAGTCCCAGAGTATAAGCAACTGCCTCTGTTGGGAGTACAGTCTTTCAGGAGGCAAGAACCCTCTCTACCAAAATGGAGGTCTGCTGAGGCCCTTCAGAGAATCAGGTCAAAACTGAGAATAAAGAAGAGCTTAAAGTGAGCCCTTCTGAGTAGCAATAGCACTGCTAGTCCCAAACAGATAGTGAAGTGCAGAGGGTTGTGTTCAGGATTTTACAGGGGGAAGTCTGACACAAAACCCACCTACACTGACATGTCTGCAATCTCCAGGCAGCTGGAGGACATCTCAGCCAACTTTTCTAGATGACACTGGCTACCTTTATCACTCTATGCTGGGTTCCCCCAGTGAGAGGTCCACTCAAAAGAGTTGTCAGGGAGAGTTTCTGCTTTGGCATCTAACTCAGGTTAAGGGTACTACTAGTATTCTCTTCAGCCCTAAGAGCCTTCTCCACTGTGATTATTCAGCGTGCTGTAGATGACATCTATGCTGTCAGCAGCTAGGCTGAGCTCAGAGCTCTGAACTGCATTCAGAAGGCCTTGTATCTCTACAGTCCTCCACAGGTGGCAGCTGACAGGAGTCTGAACAAATGCAGTGAATGAGAGCCACTGCAATGAAGTTATACATCTCCAAAGTACCAAAATTAGATCAATATATTGGCTTATCAAAGTCACTGTTCAAATCCTCTCTCAAGTAGAGCCTTCAGCCTGCTTCAAATGTGGTCTAAGCTTCCTTCCCCTGGTGCTAGCTGCAGAGCATCAGAGCAACCAAAGCCACCTGTGCTCCACAGCCAGTTGTCCCCAGTAATTTCCCCAAGCCAGTCATGCTGTCATATTCTTTGTCACCTAAGGATCCCAAGACTGGGAGGAGAGCCAAAGGTCATTGTGCTGTAGGTTGATTCAGGTAGGGTACTGCTAAATTCTCCCCATGACTCCACTAGTGGACAAAGAGGGGGAAGAGCTAGGCAGGGCTTCTCAGCAACCAGAA